GGTCACGGTCGGTCACGGTCGGTCACGGTCGGTCACGGTCGGTCACGGTCGGTCACGGTCGCCATCTCCCGCCCCACAGGTCACCTGGATGTAGCGCTGTTTCACCTCGTAGTCCCTGTACAAGAGCTTGGCGAAGAACCAAAAGCCCGACGCAAAGAGCGAGACATGAGAGGCGATCAGAACCAAGGCCTCCAAGCGCCTGAGGCAGGCAGGTCAGACGCTCCCGGACTCCGCACCCAACAAAAAGCGTTTGGGCACATCTGAAGGGGATCTCTTTGGGGAACACTCTCAGAATCGTACCAAGATGGATCTTTGAACCTCTTATCAACCCCAACAGCAACACATCTATCTCCCCAAGCACCCCCCCCAGCACATCCCCCTACTTGGCCAAGTCTCCACCAGCTCGACATCTCGATCGCATCCACGTCGCTCATGGCGAGCACTCACCCGCCCGTCATTCGGCGACGGAACCCCGCGCGCACCGGGGCCGGGCCGGCGTGGCAAAGGGATCAAAGGCGTGGGACCGCCGTGGAGCCTTTGGAGCCTGGTGAGTACTCAGAGGTACTCGTCATGAGCATGGTGGCCTGTCAGGGGTGGCCGAGTCATACACCGTCATAGTGAAACATGGTGTGGACTGCTGACTGCTCTTTGGAGGAGTGGGTGGATGAATGAAACAGCTCGCTGGATGCTGGGATGTGCCATTTCCCAAAGAACACCTACCATGAGGCACATGTCTTTTGGACCCTGTCCGGAGCGGATTAGCCAAGCATTCCTTTTGGGGTCTAGCAATCTACTTTCTGTCTCCTTCGGAGCAGTTTTCGGAGTGCTCAGATCTAGGTCTGTTCGACTTGCGAACGTTTGAAGCTCGGAAAACATCAGGGGGGGAAGCCTCCAGCTCTGTATCTGTCTGCCAGAGGCTGAAAAATGGGCTGCGGCAGCGAGTTGGACCTCCCTCCGAATCGAGAGGGTCTGTATATAGTTCAGCTCCAAAAGAGCACCTCTCCAAAAAGAAACACCAGTTCGGCTTCCGTTTGCGGAATTCTACAGAGCCCTTGGTGCTACCGGTGCTTCAGAGCTCCTCAGAGGCCGACTCTGAGTTTCTTGAAGAGGGTTGACGGCGCCACCGATGCCTTGCATCCACTGATGCTTGGAATTCAGCTCGCATCGCGGGGTTTTCTACGTTCCCCACAAACACATAGCCTCTGAATGGCGTTCTCAACCAACAGAGGTTAAGTGACCTTATAGGACCCTACCAGGGTACCTATGGGATAGCCGATAGGGTTCTTCAACCTCTGTTGGAACCACGGTTTTCTAGCTTAGCACGGTTGTCGCACGGTCTGAAGACCGCGGCCCCACGGATCAAACCAGCTTAACGCACGAGCTGGCACGAGCTGAGCAGTCGCCGAGCACGTTCCGTCAAAGAGGCCCAGCTCAAATTCCAGGTCTAAAGGATTGGATTTGGGGTGAAGCGATCCAGAATGCCCAAAATCCTCTATGTAAACTCCCTCCCAACCATACCTAAATCGTACCCTAACCCACTCCGTCCACCTCCCAACCCAGCCTTGGCTCCCCCCAGCTACTTCTGCCCCTTCCAAGCCGCCGCAGCTGGCACTGGTGATCAGCAAGGTCCACAGATCCGGATACCGCGCCGGCGGTGGCACCAGCGCGTGCAGCGCGTGTGCCACGAGGCCCGGGAACAGCAGCGACCTCAGGTGTTGGCTTAGAAAGGAATTGCACCCAGTTCGGGAAAACAAAACCACATAAAACCACCCGAGATCTCGGCAAAACCAGGTAACCTGGGTGAGGAGCATACAACCGCGTTTCACGTGGTTCGACGAAAACCATCGAGCAGTTTCGACCAGCGTTGGGGCAAACGCCCCTCCTCAGGATAGAAACTTCGAGTTGTTGAGGGAGTCTAAATCGATCCTCTTCTCATCCTTTTCTCGCCGCATCCGTGTGGGAATTAATCATCTATCCATCGCGAACGCTTGGGGGATCACCTTTTGCTGGTGTCTGCTTCAGCACAAGTGGCCCCACCCAGAAGACTTTGGAGTGGTGGCCCAGCTGAAGAACTAGCGCCACCAGCAAAGCGCTAACACCTGAAAGCAAGCACACAGCCCTGCTCATGGTCATGGTGACAGCTGTTTACAGCGGTGCTGCTGATGTTCCGAGGACCCCCCTGGCTGGGTCCCCAAGGAGGTCTCAAGAAGAGCAGCAAGAGGCAGTGGTGGAACAAGTAATACCTCTTCGCAGTTTCTTGTTCTGCAAAGAAACTGGAACTGCTCCAGGACTCCAGGACTCCAGTGTGGACAACACACGTTTTTGTGAACGCAAAAAAAAACATGCAGTCAAGTTTGATGGAGTCAGCTTAGGAGTTGTCTGTTGAAGGCGGTCTTTAAGGATTGGTAGAAACATGTCGTAGTCCCGGTGAAGGCTTACACATCCACCCGCGGCCCCGCTTGCTTTTGGGCCGCTCTCAAGCCTATAGGCCCCCTCAAGCCTATAGGCCTTTCCGAAATTGGATCACACGGAACTTGGGGAAACCGAACCAAACAGGCTCCGCTGGTCAACTCTGCCTGGCCCAATGGTTCCACGGTTCGGCCCCGGGCCGAGCCGGGCTCGCTTGGAGGTCGCTGGCGTCCACCTCTCCAGACATCGTCTCCGGTCCGAGGTGCTAAAGAGGTAAGCCAGGCAAAGGTCGTCCTTCACCATCAGCGGATACCTGCAGAGTCAGTCGTCTGAAGAAAACATCGCACGCGCTAGCAGCTGAAGGTGGGAAGGTGCAACACATGCCTGGGGAAGGTCAGGAACAATGAACTCCCATTTTGGGAGGCACATGTACAAAAGGGTCTTCGGGCGTTGAGACATCTCTGGTCGCAACTCCGAAATAACAGTTTCCCCTCAAGCTAAAGCAAGCCTGAAAATTCATCAAAAGGCACGTGCGTCCCATCGCTGGCATGCGAGCCCAGTGACATGGAGAAGAGGCTCACTAACTGGAACTGCAGCGCCAGGGCCGGTGCCATCTTCCGCGTCACGCCGCTGGGTGCCGCTCCGGCCAGAAGGCAGAAGGCGAGGCAGGGGAAGAGCACGCCCTTCTCGTGGACCTGCGCGGAACTTGGAACTTCTGGAAGAAGTCCATCGCGTAGCTCGCGTAGCTCGCGTAGCTCGCGCAGCTCGCGCAGCTCGAGCGGCTCGAGCGGCTCGCGTGGCTCGTACTGAGTGACATGGAGGCATGTTACGAAGCGGCGTTCGAGAAAGTCATCAAAGATCCTCCGCTACTTCAGATGTGAGAATCTGTGGGAACTGCTGGTTTGCGCCCCTGCTTTGCAGGTTGGGGTCATGCCCCCAAAGACACAGACCCTGCAAGATCGACCCAAATCACCCCCCAAACCGCGTGGGCGGGACACACGTTCGCGCCGTCGTTCACGGCGTTCGGCCTGGAAGGCGAAGAGGAAGAAGGACATGGACGATGTGAAGAGCGCCGCTGCAAAGGTCCCTGAGGCGCCAGGTCCGCGCAGGAGGGGCTCAGAAGGGACGAATAGATGTCCACATTGACATGATTTCAGAAGCATGCCATGGCCAACCTCAGCTTAGCGAAAGGTGAACATCATTCCCAATCCATGGGTTTCAGATGGAACGGTCCATGATCCCTTAACTCCTTCCAGCGAGTGGAAAGCATCCAAGGATTTACATGGAAACAGCTTAGTGGAACTACTTCTGCCCGATGTGCGCCTCTTGTTCGCCTTCTCATCCCAACACTCCATCCTACATCTCCATCTCCATAACTCTCTCTCTCTCTCCCTCCTCCTGTTCACCCAACACAACAACTGCCGAGAACCGGGGGCGCCTGGTCCGGCGGTTCGGCGGAAAAGGCAAAAGGCCGAGGGCAGCAGGGCCAGCAAGGTGGTCGAGCCACAGAGCAGAGGAAGGCGCTCCGGAGAGACGAGGCGCTGGACTTTGAGCACCTGCGGGGGAAGGGCTGGGTGACCATTTCTGGGGAATAGGGCCCGGCGGCCGGGCCAAGAATCAGGGAAAGAAAGGTGAAGGGACATGGGGGGAAGGTGGTGAAGGTTCCGTGTTCGATCCGGTATCATCCGGAACAGCTTAAAAAAGACACGAAAATGGAAGGAACATCCTGTCGGCGTGGAGGAGAAGGTGAACTTCCAAGGGTCCATTGTGTGTTGCAGGGAGACTACTGCAGTTCTTAGATCTTCCGGCTTACCACATGTAGGGAGAAACTTGGGCCGAAGAAGAATTGGTCGAAGACCGGAAACGAATGATGGATGATTCGTTTAGATCTGTAGTCTACCTCCAACAGCAAAAGTGTGCCTTTCATGAGTTATGTGTGCCTTTCATCTCGCACCGACGCTCCTCTAAGCACCATCCTGTTTCACAAAGACAAGAAAGGGCCATAAAGGTATGGCACCAAAAAGAGAACAACAATATGCATGGCTATATAGATGGCTTCAAGAAAACCAGGGCACCGCAGATTCGATTCCTATGGCAGAGTGAGATTGCTCGTATGTTTCCCTTTCTTCACCCGATCCAAATGACGCCCGTCGTACCCGAAAAAGACCACTTCCGCCAAATGGGAGACCACGTGTGACCCCGCAAGCGGCGTTCCAGCGACGCGAGCGTCTCAAGGACGAAGCGACGCGCCGGGAAACCCGGTCCCAGCGGCCACGGAGATGGAGCACCAGACGTTGGCGACTTTGTCCTCGTAGAGGCCCCGCGCGAAGGGAAACCTCACGGTGGGACGGCACCGGTGGGGAGCAGGTGGGAGCATGGAGTTGGTTCGACGCCGAAAAGCTCCCTCTTCCTCATCTGAAACCGAAATGCCCCATGGCCGAAGAAGCTAAAGAAGCGCTTCAGTCAATCTATCAGTGCAACCCACGCTTTTCCAGCGTCCACCCAATCCTCCAGCTTCTTCAAGTGACTTTTTTGAAGTCCCTCAATGACCTTCTCCAGGCCCAAGCCAGGATAATTATGATCTTCAGGTGCTTCTGTTCACTGCCCTAAGTGTTGCCCAACAAACCCTCCTGGGGCAGCTTTGCGACTTAGATCAACACCGAACTTTCACCCCACCCACTGCTGCGCCCACCACGTGGCATTCGATGTAGCACTTGCCCAACTTCCTCAACGCACGCGAAAAGAAGCATCGGTGGACCGCAGCGTTTGCTTCGTCCCAATGGCTCAAGTGATGTCCAAGCGAGAAAACCGAGTCTTTCAGTCAATTGGAAAAGTAATAACGTAGATCATCGTAGTGTAGATCTATGATTTACTAACACAGACTTTCCAAGAGAACTTTGATTTATATAGTTGATTCGGCCGCATCTCATCAAGCTCTGTGGTTGTCTGGTGCTTCTCAAAACTCCTCCCCTACCCACTACTACCCACCACACCCTCACCACACCGTGCCCAGTACAGCTGCATCCGCGCGGCCGCCGCTGGGCGTTCGCCCAACAACCACGGCCCCAGCAGCAGCAGCACCGTGCCCAGCACCGCTGCGCCGGCGCGCGCGACGCCCCAGGCCACAGCGCTCAGGTTGCGGCCGCGCAGGCATTGACCGAGGATGGCGAAAAAGAAGACCGGGGCCTTAGACCAATCTCTGGTGGAACTCTTTTTGGGGGGAACTTGACCAGGCCGTTTCCGGACAGGCCCTGAAGAAGTGTTGCAACTACCAGTAACTACCATTTGGAACCCGAAATGGAGTGAAATGAGGTGAACATCGGCCGATATCGATCGCCACGCTTCGGCGAAAGCGTCCAACCGTCCTCCGCGCGGCACGGCACGGTCGGTCCGTCTCGGTCGAGGCCACGGAGACGTGCGGAGACACAGCGGGAGGCGTCCGGTGGCGTGCCATGCGGCGATGTTCTGTGCGTTGCCACGGCTCGGTGCTGTTGGGCCACGTGACACACGGCACGTGCTGTGCATGTGTGTCAACGCGGCGTGTCGCGGCGTGTCGCGGCGTGTCGCCGGATGATTCGCGTTCACGGACTTGGTGCGACATGCGTTGCATCGAGTCTGTGGCACGCGGTGCGGCGCATCCGTGATGTCGCGTCGCGCCATCGTGGTCGCGCGCACCTCCGGCCGAACGGAGGCAAAGTGGGTTTGCAATGGCTTGCGTGTGCTTGTGTCATCTCACATCTTCGGGTACAGTATCTTAATCATCTTCGAATCTTCTTCTCCTCCTCCTTCTTCTTCCCACATGGTCATCGGGCCACCCGTCTATGCTTGGTGTGAGTTGATCGGGCCCCCGATCCGGACCCGGTAACTCATCAGCCCCTTGAAACAAAAGAGTTTTCGATCGATCGGATGGGTTTTGATGGTATTCAGGATTTGAGTGGAGAAAATCCCTGAAGGTCACCACCACCAAGCACCACTCCGAACGCGGCGGACTGGTGGCCAAAGGGCGTAGTAGAGCGCGATCTGCTTGTAGAGCAGGGCTGATGTGAAGAAGACCTCATTCAACATCGAACCTGGGAAATTCCCAACAGACCCAAAGACCCTCAGCACCTTCAAGCAATCCTCCTCGGATGGACATGTCACTTGCCAAACGTTGGTAAATCTCATTCTGAATGAAAACCCAAGTGATTCACACTTTGATGCCGTCTTCTTACAGCGCCCGTCTTGGCATCGTTGCGCACGTCAGCGCGTTTTTCTGCGCCACCGGGATCCCCCACGCTGCCCAGGACGTGCCAGCTGCGCGCCACGCACCCAGAGGCAGCGAGGCAAAAGCCCAAGCAGACGCCATTATATTGGAAGTGCCCGTGGTCAATGATGACCTCGGCCGTTCCTTGTGGTTCCTCTACTACTGGCAGATGGGTTTGACGCCCCAACTCCCCAACTCTGGGCCTTTGGAAAAAGCTTTGGAAGAAAAACGAGACCCTGTACAAAAGAAAAATGGGTTTGCACCAATGACCAATATGAAGAGAATCTTTGGGCCGATTCACATTCTTGCCCACCAGCAACACACGAAGTCGGCAACCTGTGCTATTCATTCGATCAGCAAATGTCCCTCATTTCCACACGAGCCACCCAAACTCCCCAAATTTGCCACAGATTTCAACTCGGGCTTGTCCGATCATATTCCAAGAAACTCCTTCTTGATGCCATCCACCAAGCTAAACCCCTCCGAGGCCATCCAACTTAGCACTTCAAGACCCTTTCAAACCTGGGTTCCGAGTCGCGAGCCCCTTCTTCCAGGATTGCATTGAGCGCCCCGACCAGTGGCAACAACATCCAGAGCTGCTGTGCAGTACGGCGCCCGCCGAAGAAGTTCGAGGACCATAGCGCGCCTCTGCGTCAGCCACCAGGAGGTTGGGGGGAGGCGGTGCGCACTTGAGACTCAATGGGCACCACTCGTGGGTCTGTCATGGCTCGCTCGGTGCTTTCACCAATGAGAACGTCGGTGAAAGAAGACGCAAGGGTTGCGTTCTTTTTGAGGCCGGGGCATGGGTGACTTAGTTCTTCTCGCTCTTTATGAGTTGTCGCAAGGGATCATATGAGCCGCTCATAGTGCGGCTCCTGGCGAGCCGGACCTCGATTCGCCACTCCTTTCGACTTGGCCTCCCCGCCCAGCCCCATCCACCCGGCGGGGCCCAGCCTGGCAGGTAGATTAACAGATCCGAGACCAGGACGGAAGCACGGAGGAAGGCCTCCAATCGTTTGGGGGCGTCAGGAAGTTTCAGCTCTGCATCGAGGTGCGTCGAGATGCGTCGGCTCGAGCCCAAACGGCCCCTCTTGCCACAAGACCATGGGACTGACCCTGGGCTATTGCCCCTTGGCACCACCTCTGCGAGACGGATCCAACAACCACCAGAGAGCTCCCACGAACCTCCGCCGCGCCGCGCGGGGGGCCTTGCACCGGAGGCTCTCGTGGCCCCTGCTGCTGTGCAGCGCGAAGCAGGGCGGATCCACCCCGTGGCCCACGATCCTCGGTGGCAGGATTCGGATTCCGGCCTCACCTCTGAGGAGAACACAAGAATGAGAGGTTACCTCAACTGCGACGCCCTGCCGACGCCTGCGTTCTGCTCAGCACTCTCAAGCAAAGCGTTTCAACGTGTCCAAATCGAATCTTCGGAAAAGGAAAGGGCGTTCCGAAGACTTCCAGGGTGTTCTATAGATGTGGAATTTTGACCGGCTTCGATGTGGAGGATTTTGGGGTGTTGAAGTCTGAACATTTTGAGGGATATGGATGGATATGGTCCAGATTTCCTCACCTGCCACAACATCATCCTTCAAAGTCAAGATCACAAGCCAAAGAGGGTCTCAAGACTCAGAACTATCACGAATAATATATTGAAAGTGGGACAGACGTGCCCAAGCAATTGAGCTCTGACATGCGCTTTTCGCAGAACCTGGAATCAACTGCTCTTTGGGACAAAACCTTTGCCATCCCACATACACCAACCACACCTGCTTGGGCGTTCACCCACCAGTTCTTGGGACTTCACTTTGAAGCCATGGCAAAGTTGGACTTCACTTCGCAAGTCGAGATCTTCCAACTTGCGACTGGTCGCATCAACCACTCCAAATGCATCGGACTTGCCGTGGCAGTCAAAGAGGAGTAAAGGAAAAAGGAGCTCGATGCTTCACAGTCCAGCAGAAAAAAAACGAAAAAGAGTTGGAGAAAGAATGAGGGAGAACAAAAAAAAGACGACATTCCATCTCAAGACCATTCCATCTGAAGAATGCACACTGTACTACAGATGGCTCCCCAGCAAACAGTCGCCTCCGAGGCTCCCCAGTAGCCAGGAATGGAACGCGGTGAGCGGGGGGTAGTCGAGGCCCCAATACCTAGCGGGTGAAAGGAACGAACTCCACGCGTCCGAAACCCACGCGCGCGGGTTGCAGGCGGGGGAACGAGGCGGAATCGAGTCCGGAACGAGTCTCCGGCGTTTCGAAACGGGTCAGGACTCAGGACTGTCCTGAATTGGAGATCGACTTCTGGGGCGAACAGCGGGGCTCAATGGAGATGAGAGAAGGTCAACCTAGTAGGGGTTCACATCTACTGGTCATGAGTGTCAGCCTAGAGGGGTCCTCCTCTGGCTTGCAGACAAAGCTTTGGACTCAAGGATGCCAAATCTTGGCATGTGTTCGTTCGATTACATGACTGTAAAGTGTCCACGGAGCTGTTTTGACCTGTTTTTACTCATGAAACTTCCATGGCGGTTTTGAGGGATGACCTTGGAGTTGGGGAGAACACTCCAGGCGGCAAGCGAAAGTACGAGAACCATGTGCCAAAGGACAGCTAAACCGCGAAAAATATCCTGCAAAGCCACCAAAACACTTCACAACTCCGGTAGTTGAAACAATCAACTTGATCTCAAAACTTCACATCTTTTTGATCCAAGGAAGATTAGAACTAAAAACCTTCAGAGTTAGAGGTCCCCCACCTTCTGCTCCTCCGCCACCTTCTGCTCCTCCTCCTCCGGGCATCCCGGCTGCAGGTCGTTGTCGGGGCCCGGCTCGTACCAGCTCCGCACCGGCAGGGCGGTCGTGAGCTCCATCCAGTGGCGCTGGGCCTCGGTGCGTCGGAAGCACCGGTGAGTCGGAGACCAGCGACCCGGGTGGCACGTGCAAGGTGGTGCATCTCCGGTGCCTCTCCGGTGCAGTACTTGATTGATCCTTTCATGTGGTGAAAAGCTAGATTCGCAAGCAAAAAAAGCAAATCGAAGCAAGGATCAGAAGTCTGGAATGGGCAAAGCATCAAGCGAAGCCCGCACAACCCAACAACAAGACCCATGACGCACCCGTTTTGCAGCCGTAGGCTATCATAGGCTCTTAAACAGCTTGGTCACTAGACCCCAGATGGATGACTTCACCTGATCCTTCTGTACCCGTTTGGCTTCCTGGCCCACCATGATTTTATTGGTTGTAGCCTCATCCTTCTGTGAGCCGAGCCGGTCCCACCCCCACCCCTGCTCCTTCCCCACCTCGTAATCCCCATACATGGGCGGAGTCCCCTGGCGGAAGGCGGAAGGCGTCCACACCGACTTCTGCAGAGGTTCGTTCTTCAGCACTCAACGAGGAACTAAAAGAGGTGGTCTAAAAGTTATCCCCTGAGATGGAGCCAAGAAGGAACGAGCTGTAGACCTGGATCTTCCCACTGACCTCATCCCCTTGGTTTGAGATCACGAACAGGTCTGTGAAAGGTCACTTGGGGACTCCAAAAAGGTCACGGGGAAGGTCCTGGGAATTGTTTCGAACGGTTCGATTGTCCACATGCTTGCTGGGCTCCCTTCCAATGAACCTTGCCCCTGATGGCTTTGCGGTTTAAGGCTAACCGGCTAACCCGATGCACTCGGCAGCTGCACCACAAGTCACCACAGTCAAAACAAACAAGTTCCTGGTCCTAGCCGTGCCTTCCACTCCCAACATTTGGTCCAGAATCGTCTAGAATGCGGAGACGTCCATCGACGTCTCCGCATGATCAAACCACCCATGAGGCGTCTCATGCCTGCCCCGCAAAGCTCCGCCCGTCCAGATTCCACGTGGCCTGCCCAGAATGAGGACCCAAAGCAACGACCTCAGCGGGACGGAAGCTGCGTGATTCCAGCATCTCAGGCGTCGGTAGGCACCACCAGCCAGCCCCTAGAGCCCAACCACCAGCGTGTTCGAAGAGATCTTCCTATGCCACCCCATCTTCCTGCGTGGGTGCTTCATCTGACTTCTGAAGCATGCAAGAGCAAGCATTTGCTGGCTCTAGGCAGCTGGAAGAGGGCAGCTGGAAGGATGAGTTCAACCAACTACAAAGATCCCACAAATTCACTGGAAAACGGCACACCAATATGTATACCCATGTGGTCGTCACCGAGCCATGCACCTACGACCACCTCGTAGAAGCGAACTCCGGCTGATACATATCCACGAATCTCGTCCCAAACATATAGCTGAACCAAAACAAATAGCCCCCCAAACAAAACACCTACAAACAAGTATATACATAGATATATGTATGCGTATCTATATATATTACATAATATATCTGTGTGAGGGAAAGAACTCTATAGTATATAATTCTCTTCCACAACCAAAAAAAGAAACAAGCAAGCAAACAAGCAAACAAAAAAACATGAATAACCCCGCCTCACTGGAATGTGACGATGGACCCCCAAAAAAACACCTGTCTTCTTTGCCAAAGTGCCATGTTCTCCTCCCAAGTTCCCCGAGGAATGCCCCAACACACTTGCTCCCACCCGGTCCCACCACCCCATCCCCTTCGACCCCCACCAGCAATCCCTCCCCATGCACCTGGCTGTCCAAGACACACATCTTAACGCGACCCCGGCCGCCAAGGTCGGCGCCAGCCGCCCCCGTTCGCCCACTTCGCGCGGCGAGGCCGAGCGCGACGAGGCCGGAGAGGAGGCCGTGGCGAAGGCGGACATGGCAGCAAAAGCAGCAAGGACGGACAGGGCCGGGATGTGGGACGAGGAGGTTTGGGTTGATTCGTTAAATGAACCTAGAGACCTAGAGGTTGCATTGCGCCAGGGTGTATGTGTGTCGTGACATGTCATGACCCATCAAAAGAACTGTCCCACTGGGAAGTTAAAATGTCTCTGTCATTTCCAGCATCCATAACTTTCCAGGGAAGTAATCAACCAGTCAATCTATCGATTCGATCAATCTCATCAATCCTGGGAGTCCATCATCTAACCTTCGTCGTGAAGATCGTGATATCATGCAACGTCACAGACGTCACATCCTCAAAAACCGCATCCAGCCCGGTCTCAGTTCCTTGCAACCCCCGAATCTGCCCCTTTGAGACAACGCTGCGAAACGAGACAACACTAGGTGATGTTCACAGGCAGCCGCCCTAGGCCCTAGGCTTCCAACCACCATGGTTTTAATGGTTTCCACTGAACCACCATTGTTTTACTAAGGATTTTACACTACAACACCAGGTCCACCATCGTCTTTTAATGGTCTTGGAAGGCTAATTAGGGGTATCCTATGACTATTCTTCTTTGCCTAGTTGTTCCTTTCCCCTTAGATGATCCAGTTCCCAGCCATTGCTTTTGGGTGGCCCACGGGATGAAAGGAATCAGTCTTTGGGTATGTCCCAGTATGTGGATGATGATGGTTGTGTTCAGTTAGCAGTTAGACATAGTTGGACCTTTCTCCAAAAAGTTGACCTTTCTCCACAACTATGCTGCTTAGTCATGATGTGGTCCATACCTAGGCCTTACAGCCTTACTTTCTCCAAACACATGGTCTCCAGCTGTTGACTCTGGCTGTTGACCGATGGGCACGTCCCTTGCGTTCGTCGATCAGTCCAAGACTCTGATCGAAGACCCAAGACGGACAAGGTCTGGACAGCCCGATGTGTCGCGGGGGAAAAACAGAAAAACAACGTGATTGAAGAGGGACTCATCTTTCCAAGTCACTTAGATGATGATATAACAATTATATAAGTAAAATGTCAGTCCATGTGTATTGACCAGACTTGGCATTGACATTGTAAGATGAGGATGTTAGAATGATTCAGAATGGACAGCAGTATTGAAACACATGCTCAAAGGAAAGCCGACCAGCTTGAGTAGCCCAAAGCACCGTTTCCATCGGCCTCCCATCACACCCCAACTCCACCTGATCGCACAATTCCAGCTGATTCTCTCCTTCCCTTCCTCAAACCCTCTCCTGGACGTGCCCTTGTCGCTGCGTATCCACGCCCTCGATCCAGCCGGTGACCAGATCCCCATAGTGCTCCACCAGCGCGGACTTAAAGGTCCCTCGGGCATCGCGTCGTGCCGTGCACGCGCATCGCGCATCGGGCACCGCGCGAGGGCATGCGATAGCGTCGCGCGAGGGTCGCGTCGCGTCGTGGGGCATCACGCCTGCACCCCAACACAAACGTCTGGACCTGGGTGTTTCGAACCCTGAAGACGACCCCCCGGGGTTTTACTGCGGATTCATGTCTCGCTCTTGGAGGTCATGACCACTTCTCGGACCTGGGTGACTTGCGACGAGAACTTCAACCGTATCTCCAAGCTCAGTGTGAGTACCTCGAGTCATAGCAACAGTGGATTGCAGAACGTATATCATATACATTCATATACTGACTTGTTGCATTGTAGTTTGATACCCACCAACAAGGATGCCTCCACTATGTTTCGGTTTGCATCGCACACATCGCGGCCCGGAAGCAGCTCGAAGGCTAACAACATCTATGTAACAACTGTTCACCAAAAAGGACAGGTCTCGCTGGTACATTACCCCAAAGGAAGGCACGTGTCTTCATTCAATCCCGATTGAGTACTCTCTAGGCCCCCTCGCAGCGCTAGCCCGCACAGCTCTTGAACTCACGTGGACAGCCCGATCTGCAGCGGTGCACCGGAACCCGCCAGTCCGATCTGCAGGTGACTTCCATCCAAGTGGCCCAGGTAGTGGCCAACCTCCCCATCGACGTCCATGAGCGAGACCTCGAGGAAACAGAGGCCCGGTGACCCCCCGCTCCCTGTGAAACATGGCGGTCAATCAGTATACCTCTGAATCGGGACCCGAGCCGGCGCTCCCTCCTGAGCAAAAAAACAGCTATATAGACCACCAGACCCTTTTGCCAGTCTCAACACTCCCCAATAAACTTGAAGAAGAGACCGGCTCTAAGCAGTTTCACCGCGAACCTGTCATTCAAGATGATTCTTCCACCCGATTGGTAAAAAAACTGTTTGTGTGTGAGTGTGTGTGTGTGTGTGTGTGTGTGTCACATGCACTTTATGGGAGTCGCGTCTTCCCAGTTGCACACCCATCGGAGTCATGGCGACCCGGGCGGTGATCGGTGATCGGTTCTGCCACCTCTTGAGCTCCTTTACTGGTAGCTAAATCCTCCTAAGGATGCCTGTTGGGGGTGCCCCAAAGAACTTCAAAAGAAAGTCCAACTGTTGTCTCAATCCAACTGTCAGAACGATCCAAAAACGTGGTGCCCCTGTTTCTCCCAAACATTTTCAGAGACCACCTCAGTCTCCTTCGAGATCCACTGGAGAAAGACTGCCCCCCCCAGTCTCCGTCACTGGGTGCCCCTACCGAGCCCGTGTCCTTCTCATCGAGCTCCGCCCAGAGCCTCGATGGTTGCGTCGCGGAGGTCAAACAGAGCTCCATCGGTCAGTCCCACCTGCCCTCTTTGCTCGGCAGGATCAGAGGCGTGTTCTTCTTCCCCGTGGCATCGCACCCCCCTCCCCCAAGTTGGGAGAAAGAGGATTTGGGGGTCGATGGACAGTTGGGGTTCTCCCCCCAAACCATGGTTTAGAGCATAGGGGGCGCGTCGAAACCAAAGGGCACACATGGGCACCGATCGGAGTGCGGAGGCGCTCTACGCAGGACACTTCACGGGTGTGGAAGAGCCATGAGAACATGGCCTATGGCTGTGGGTCATGAAGTAGGAAGGGGTGTCAACCTACCTTTGTTGGGTGAGGGAGGTGTCCTGACTCACAGAACACAATCAAGTGGCATAGTCGGCATAGTGACACAATGTGACACATATCAATATGGCACACATCGCATGCTCCCAACTTCTTTGAGTCCATTCAGTACCCCTGACTGGGTCTAGCTCAGCCTGCCTTCTCAACAAGTGCACCCCACCACCGAGTCATCCCTCCGAGTCAATGTCCTTTACGGGGATTTGCTGGATTTCAGGAACCCCAGGGAAAAAATAAGGACTAAACAAATATAACTCCTCAGAAAGGAGTTTTCCCCATAGGCAAAATCAACCTCCCGCGCTTGTTTTAGGCCAAAACGAACCAGGCTCCAACGCACGGCTCTCAGCTCGGACGGGCTCGGCACGACCGTTCCCGCAGTGCAGCGAGGAAGCTTCTTGAAGTTCCCATGGAATCCCACGGCCTAAGGCTTTGAGGCATGGCCCAATGGAGCAGGTGATTCCGGTGCGGCGACGAAGCGCAGGTGATTTGGGTCCATGTGTCTTTTTGATGCGACAGCACCAATAAATACCAAGAAATTGAGAACACCTAGCACCTGGCAAGTAGACTTAGGTTCCTGGGTGGAACGCCTGAACCAAGAATCAGGAAAAGTGCAACGTCTGATTCTTGGCTTTCTAGGCCTCAAGAACTGACCTCTTCAGGCGGCAGAAGCTGCCAAAAGCCACCAGAGCCATATATTAAACGAAAAATATGTGCGTGGGACAAGCCGCACGATTCGAGATGATGATGCATTATAGCTTTTTGTTTAACATATGACATATGTACCAACATGTTGGGTGATTCAAAAAATATTGTTGACACACAACAAAAAACAACAAATATTGAACACACACACACAAAAAAAAAAAAAAACTTTAAAAAAATATTTAAAAAAAATGATTTGACACAAGTTATGCCAGCTCCCCAACAAGCTGTACTTGGAGCAAAGGGAGACAAGCATAATTGCTAAGGCATTCATCTATCTTGTCCTGTTCCTTTCTTTGGGTGTCTTTCTCACTCGGGCATCTCCCCCGTGACGGGCACGTTCCATGACCAGACCAGACTCCTCCGGGCGCTTGCTAGGTCCACGGACGCGGCAGGCGTGGCAGAACTCGTGGAAGCCCAAACGGCCGGAGCCCTCGCCGCGGCGTCGCGGCCGAGGGGCGAGTCGCTGTTTCCGCCAGAGGGTGTTGGATGGTCGTGGCACGTCCACAGCCCCTTGTGTTCATGGAGGTTCCCAGTTCGGCACCTCAGAGGTGCCAGGAACTGAAATTGACCCTCCGGTCACCACTTGCCCAGCAAAGCGAAGCGACCTGTGGATCGAAAGGGAAACTGACTAGGGGTTGCTTTGGCCTCCCAGTCGACTGGACAGCCATAGAATCTAGAGAAGTACCCACCCCCCCCGGCCAGATCTTTTGTTCCTCTCTTCATGCACGATGTTCACCAGCCATCACATCTGCCCCAATCCCCGCTCCGGTGCCGTCCGAAACCCCCGTATACCGAAGGCAGGCGGGCCTGGCTGTCCACCGCTCGCCAGCCCTTGAGGATCCCCCTGAGGCGAACTGGATCGGAACCCTCCAGGGGGGCAGGACGGACCCGCCTTTGGAGAGTTTGTTGGAGCCTTCGCGAGAAAACCGCCAGCTGCCGACATGCTGGGGATGGACCCCTGAGAAATCGATGTCTCTCTCTCTCTCTCTCTCGTATGGGACTTTGCAGGACCCTTTAGTCTGGCTGTCAAATGAAGGTCAACGAGCCATGAATTCTCGGAGTCCCGCAAGGGCGGCCCGCAAGGTTCTTCTAGCTCGCAAGGGCGGCCGTGGTGCACCAAGCAAACCATGAGACTAAGAGAGCGATCACTCCTGAGCATCCGAGCCCAAACTTCTTCTGCAAGAAGGTCCGGAAACCTTCCTTCCCCTGGCATGCAGTCAAGAGCTGAAAGCCGGCACTTTGCGCGTCAAATCTCGGAAAACTGGGATCAAAGACTGGGTGGCGACCAGACTTGAGTGATTCTCAGTTTCCCAGT